TATAATATAATAATGTGTTATAGGTACTCGTATATGTACCATGCTTTGTTATGTGAACATGGCGAATGGCTACTGCTGTCTGGCCGTTTATGATCGACGTCAGAAAACGTTGGCCAATAGCAGAATTCTGTTTTGTTCACATGACTTAGAATTTCTACAATATTATAGAATATTTTTGAAGAAGGGATGTAAAGTATTACTATTTTTTGTAGAGAAAATTACTATTTTTTGTAGAGATAATTATTAATATTTGTACAAATTTTTACAGAAGTTAGTAGTAGTAATTACGATAATTGTAATAAATTTCTACTTCTACAAACAATAGTAAAATATACTAAACATTGTGGACTTCTTTCCTATTGTTGTAGCATTTTATTCGACAATTCAATTGCTACAATAATGAATAGTTTTTAACTATAAATTGTAGTAAAATTTTCTACAAATTGTTAAGTATTTTTCTACAAGTCTACTACTACAACATTGTAGTAAAATTTTCTAGTCACATTTTTTTCCGTGTGGGACAAATTCTCTTCAATTTGTACATTAATGATATATTTTCTTTTAACTCCTCGGGAAAGGTAATTGGTTTTGCAGACGACACTGCTATAATTATATAGTGACAAAACGTAGGAAAATTTAAAAATAGAATAGAAACTGATGTAAAAAAATATATTTAGATATATAGATATATTTAGACACAAAATGCCTACGGTTAACTACAACAAAACCTATATCGTTCCGTTTACTAGTTATAAACACAAATTACCACTTTATAATAAAATTACTATTACAGTCAACAATATGATTACTGAAATTTCTTTAAAATCTGAAATTAAATATCTTGGTGTAAAAATAGATTCACATTTAATTTAATTTTCCTAAAAACATCCCAGTTTTCATTTTACAGAGTGATAAAGTGAATTTCATAAATACAAAATTTTCTAAACATCTTCCCTTACACTAAAGACTTTAACTTAAAAATATGTATCTTAGCTAATCGTTGTTATTATTAGTTAACACACTCTATTTTATAAATTACGATAACCCATTGGGGTAGAATCAAGGGATAAGGAAACAGTTTTAATCAAAATTTTCCCTCTTTGTTCTTGATCAGTTTGATTATCACTTACACCAACTACTGAAATCTTTCTACGAAGGTCTTTTCGAATGAGAGGATTTTGTAGTCTCTTCTCCTGTTGAGATTTGACCAAACTGAGGCCCAAACTTTTTAAAAATTTCCTTCTTGGTAATGTTGAGCCGATATTATTGATATTGTAAATTACCATCGCATTTATTCCCGCTGAAATCATAATTGAAAAGAAAAGAGTCAAAGGCCACCTTCTGCTGTTCCGCGAAACGCCGTAAGTGCCTAACAGCTCGTCAAGTGGAGATCACAATAACATTTTTTCCTTTTTTGGGTACATATGAGACTAGACTTTTGAAACGCAAATTTGCAGCTCCTTTCTTCTCTTGTCTTCGTATTAAGTAGTTCAGAGGGTATTTCACCATTATTTTTTCGTAGCGTTCCTACGAAAGTCAGGCCATAATTTTTAAGTAGTTTTGTAACCAAAGGGTAGCTAGAAAACCAATTGTCAAACGTAATATTCCTCCGAAAATTTGTAAGTGGCTCCACAAGTCGCAGAACTATATCTTCTGGTTTGTTACTTTGTTGAAAGGGCCTTTCAGGGTGTTTACTCCCATAAACCTCTAAATTGAACACGTAAAATGTTTTTGCATTCACCACTGAAAAAACTTTTAGGCCGTATTTCGCCGGCTTATTGGGTATATATTGGCGAAACCCGCAGCGGCCTCTAAAAGATTTCAAATTTTCATCTACAGTTAGATATTCAGACGGTGTATAAGAATTTTGACAATTTTCAGCGAAATGATCAAAACTGCTCGTATTGGCGCCATTTTATCAATATGGCGTCTTTCTTCCTTAGTGTTTTCTTTGTCAAATCTAAGGCAGGCTAATAAAAATTGAAATATTTTCAATTGCATAGTACATCTGAAAATGTCAATGCCTGTTCCATCGGAAGCCCATAAATCCACCAAGTTTTGTCTTGCTGAACGAAAAAGATCAGTAAGGTATAAAAGGCCTAAGCAAGCGGTGATTTCTGTCAGGGAAGTTTTTCTCACTATATGTTTATCAGTGTAATTGGTTGCCTTCCCTACGATCTTTTCATTAGTGCATTCGACAATAGAATCTAGAATGAGATCATCAATAAATAGCTTCCAACAATCTAATGGTATTTTTGCGCAATTCATTTAGGGCCAGGCAAGTGAGTTATTATATTTTATCTTCTAGTATGAATTGCTGAGTTACCTGGATTTTCAGTCCATTTAGTCTTTTTTTCAATACCCCGTAAATACTGAGCTATCCTTGTTGTTTGTTCAACTGCGTGATCATCGACCTGTTCTTTAGTCTCAGAGACTTCTGCGCGTTTATTGTTCTGGCTATCAACTAGAATATGTATTTATGGAAGCTTCTCTTCCGAGTCTGAGTGGTAGGAATTCTCACTTATGTGATCCGGTGGTTCGTCATCAGATATCGAGCCAATGTCTGACTCTTTATCGTTTACTTCTTCCCAAAGCTTCAAAAGTCTTCTTTGTTCGTCTTCGTAATACATTGTTTACCTAAAAATAATTACCTAAGTTTGCTTTGTCAATATTTATAGTATACTAAACCTTATGAATTCAAGAAATTTAACTTTTTCACCTTGGTACAAAATTATAACCACACTGGGGTATGAGATACCCTACAACACTTTACACACCTCTACGAATGCCAGACGCATACTGAGCAGCGAAACAAGTCTAACATGCTACAGCCACAGTTTATAGCTTAAAAGAATCAGTTCGCTCACTCGGACCAATTGGATGTTCCAAAATAACATCCACTCCAGGGATACAAATTCAGGATGCGTAGAAGACTGCTGTTTGAATATAGGCGGTTGTCTAGGCATTCCAAACAAATGAACTACCAATGGGAAGATTTGATATATCCAAGGGTTGCGACATACGATGTATTCTGTTTACAATACGTAAAATCATAAATAATGGATTACATTTAAATATTTTATGTCAAACACAATAAAAATAAGATACATTTTTTCATAAATTGGCAGGCTTTGTGACTATTATTTCGAATAAAAAAAAAACATTCAGGATGCAAGAATATGTCTCTACCCCTTAGATATATCAGACCTTCTCACTGACAGCTATTGTTTGACAGGTCGTTGGAATGCTTAATTGGTAAAAGTAAGAGAGCCCACTGCAAATTACGACCGCCATCTGATAACAAAATGAAATATGCTCCAAAGACATGTAACAACATTGTACTTTACCAAATTGCACCTGTGCCAATTTGTAATCCAGAGCAAAGTGGTTAAAAAAAATTATTTTATGTTCAAAAAATTACATAAGACATTACAGCGATAATTGTATTTTCTCTGAAAATTACAATCCTAATTCATTGTGAACCTAGCTTTTTAACCTGAATTATTAATATTTTTACCTAACTTTGGCAGAGATAGTCAATAATAATTATAAACTCTTATTAGACAATTCTTTTAACCCATAATCATAGTAGTTTTTTTGTCGTTTCTATGACAACCTGTAAAAATTAGCGCTGTCATTGCCTTATGTGATTTTTTTAATATCAAATATATATTTTTTTAACACTTTGCTCAGGATTGGGATTGTCACAGGTGCCATTCGGTAAAGTACAATGTTTTTACAAGCTTTTGGGGTATATTTTATTTCATTATCAGATAGCGGTAAAAATTTACAGTGGGCTCTTGGGCTATTATGATTTGATTCTGTATGCGCCAGGGATACAAATCCGAGTTGCGCAATGTATAAAGTGGAACATTGAGATCAAAAGTGCCGACGCAGAGTGAGCGAACTGATTCTTTTAAGCTATAAACTGTGCTACAGCCACCTATTTAGTTTGAAGGTACACGGCAGATGGCGCCTCTGAAATTAATAAAATGGAAGCGGTGGCATTATTATTTAGGCTGGGGAATATCATACCCCACCGTACCAATGCCGGGTTAAAATCATCTTCCGTGAGCTACTGAGTTGCTTATATTTTATAGGGATGCATTTTATTTTCTTTAACGTTCGAATAATCGATGAATGGCTAATATCGAACATTGAGGCTGCTTGTCGACTAGAATAATGTGGGTTTTCCTGAAACTCAGGCATAATATTCAATTTGGTAACATTAGTTATTGCATTGGCAGTAATTTTTTTGTCTGCCTTTTCATGTCCAAGCTCGCAAAACTCTTTCTCTATTTTACTAATTGTTCCTTGGGATATACGCGGAAAATTTGGAAATCTTTCGTGAAATAAGCGAGCCATTTGTGTCCGTGTTTTATCTCCATAACCAATCATCTGTAGAATTGTTATTTTGTGTATTTCTGTTAAATGAACCATTTTTCTCATATGCAGATAAGGAAATTCAAACGAATATAACACTGACAACTATTGTCATGCTATCAGATAACAATTTGACAAGGTCAGACGTTTTAAACAAAAGTAAACAAAACTATTTAAGTACAGTTTTTTTTGTATTTCATATCAGTAAAAGGGAACGCTGAAATGGTTACTTTGTCATTATCAAGACCTAAATGGGAAATAAGTATTGAGTGTGTTGTAGCGAATTTATGTAATCAAACAATTTTATTTTGTTAATGTTAATTTTTGCAATAAATCGATAAACATTTATTATTTCCGCAAACAGTTAGGTATAGGATATAGTACATAAAATATATAATTCAAAAATTGAAAAATATATAGGGTGTTGCATTTAAAACAAGAAAGTTGGTATTGGCCAGTTACATGACACACCCTGTATAAAGTTTTAAGTTTTAAGTAAAAAAATGCGCAACTAAAAATAGGTACCAATCAACGTGTCCGAACGTTTTTCCGAAGACGCCCTAATTTATTTATTACCGAATTTATTGCTCTTTCACACTGTATATTCCAATACATACCCTATAAAATTCAATCCTGTGATCATCTTGTAAAGATTTACCATTATCACTCACTCCCATTTCTGTTATTAAAATATCTGGGTTATTATATTTATCTTTTATCCATTTTAAGGTCCTTCTTATTCCCCTCGGTGACATCTAAAAATATTTTAATAGTTAAATAAATCGGTGACATCTAAAAATATTTTAATAGTTAAATAAATTGGAGACTTCTAGATGCATTTGACAAAAAATTAAAATTAAGTTAGGAATCACAAAAAAATTCATGCATCGAAAAATTTTACTCGTGTACAAGCCTCTGCGTGTAACATCAATTTTTCATTATTATAACGGTATGAAAATGCCTCTTGCAGTTTTTATTTCAGAAAAGAAAAATGTTATATTTGGTTTGGTTGAGTTACTTTTTTCTAAGACCATTATTTTTGAGATATTGATTTAACAAAACTATTAGTTGAAATCAATGATATGGTATCTGTCAGAAATATTTTATTTTCTTTGATCTAAAGCCGCAACAGTCTGGACGCCTATGTTATTTTAATAAACAAATTTAAATGCCAACATTTTCTATCAAACACAGTAAAACCGATTTTGAGAAAGAAAAATTAGATTTTCTTAAAAAAAAAATAGAACTTTTTACTAGAATTCAATAAATATGATATAATCCGACACTTAGAAATCCACATATAGGCTCCGGACTAAATAAGCTATTTCGAACAGTCCCATCCAGAGATAACCAGGAGATGTAACTACTAACAAATATCCTGCGGCCGTGAATAAGACATATTCTAAGGGACACAGTAGGGTATAATATCCGCTGTTGTCATTGTTAGTAAAGTGTATGTATTGAAATATTCGCTCAAGAAAACGATTCACCTCCCACTCTTTTGTCACAAGGCAGAATTTTTCACAGATGAAAGGTCATGATAAGGTAACCATTATTCCGGAGGTAATACAAAATTAGATCGTGCAGAAGGGCACTATCATCAAAAATCCAGATATTGATACCCCCGAATAGAGAAAAAAATACTAATTTTTTGGTCAAATGCACAATAAAATCTTTGTAGGGAGTAATTGTTCATACTTATTTAAAAAAATCATTTGCATTAGCACTTACGGCCGAAAAAAATATAAACGTAAATATCTTGGTTTTAGCCCTTCAAAAATTCAGTTAGAAAGTCGTCTTTTGTAAATATACCACTCATTTAATAAAAAACGCAGGCCTAAATGAAGAAAAAAAAAATTCTTTATAAAATTTTTGCTTATGTGTTGACAAGGTAACAGAGTAAACACCATATGTTTGCTTTTGAATTAACAAAGATATAACAATAAACGATGAGAGATGTCATAGGTTTATGCTGTAATTCATTCTCACCGCCAATTTTATCGACTTCAGTGTATCTTTCTCTTCACCTTCAAACGTAGCATAGCTCTGTTTCTTTCTACGTGCCGGCTGATGTATCACATTATTGATATGGTAGGATTTTTCATTTTTTTATTATAAAACTTCTCGTTATGTTCCATTGGGCAATGTGTCATATTGTTATCTGTTTTTACTAAAGAATTAATAAGTGTATGTGTAATATATTAAATTACCTAATAAATTGGGGAAAAATATAGACATTTTTGCATCTTTATTATATCTACATTCATCTTGTTGCAGCTGAATATATTTGGGTAAGTTATAAGTTTTCGTTTAAAATTTTAATTACGGATTTGTTGCTGCAAGTAGCAAAGACAAAAATTATATCAAAATAGGAAAGCCCAAAAGTTGCATATCATTTAAAGAATATGCTCATATATTTGTAAACATTATTTTTAGAAATAAATTTAATTCTCAAATGATAGATGTAGTATTTGATCATTATAAAGGACATTCTATCAAAAATACAACACGTCAAAAGAGAGGATTTCAGAAATCAATTGATATAGAAATTGAGCGACCCAATATTCCACTTCCGCAACAATAGAACTTGTTTATTCATTCGATATTTAACAAAAGACGTTTAACACATTTTCTGCCAGAGCAACTTCTTCAAAACTCCATTCAGCAAAAGCATATTCAATTTCTAACTAGTGGTGGATTCGCGAAAACCAATAAATATGGGAAGAATTTTGAACCATCAAAAGACGATTTTTTAAATTCAAATCACGAAGACGCTACTAATCGTATCTTATTGCACATATTGTCAGACAAAAATTCGGGGCATTCACGCTGCATTATTTATTTCAACGATACAGATGTCTTATTAATTTATTTTAAGAAGTTTTTAACTAAAGATATATGGTTCAGAACAGGGCGAGGAGACTCAAGACGATTTCTAGCAGTACATTGTTTAAATTTGGATGAAAACCTTCTAAAAAATGTGCTTGCTTTTCATTCTCTGACCGGTTGTGATACAATCAGCTAATTGTCCGGCATTGGGAAAAAACCTGTTGGAAAACCTACCTTGAACACCATTACTTTTTGGATGCATTTGGCACTGATCAGTACTCTGAAAACATATTCTCTAATCTTGAAAGAATTTTCATAATAATTTATTCAAAACTGCCAATGTTACTTCCATTAACATTTAGAGGGGATTAGTGGCCTCTTCAAAAACCTTCGCTAAATTGCCACCGACTGAAGACGCCCTAAGACTACATAGTTTAAGATGTTTTTGCCAGCTAAATATTTGGCTAAGCTCTTTAAACCCAGATGCAGCTTCCTAATGTTGAAGAATATGGATAGAAAGTAGATCAAGATGGAAGTCTGATACCCACTTTTAAGACTCTGCCCGACCTGCCATCAGACATAACAGAACTTACATCATGCAAATGCAAAAAAGATACTATACAATATTCTAACAATAATATTATGTTCTAGACTGTGGAAGCAAAATTTGCAAATGCAGAAAAAAAAATATTTGCTGTATCGGTTTCTGCACCTGTATGGCACAGAAAAACTGCAGAAATAGTTTGACCACAGCCGCTAATGTTTTGGAAAATGTTGATTCGGGTGGTGAATCTGATTCTGATTAGTTTGAAATTTGAAATTTTAATATTATTAATTTATGCTTTATATACTTCCTTCCAATTATGATTATTATTATTATAATTTATTTATATTGGGGATTTATTGTATTTTGCAAAGCAATAGCCTTATTGTTTATAATTGATACTTCAATAAATACCTTTAATAAATAGTTTATATTTTCTTATTTTTCATTTTCCACCAAAAATAAAAAAAATCTTGAAGTAATTAATACACCCTATTGGATAAATCAATAATCCCTGTATAAAATAATATTAAGAGAGTCAAACTAATTGATTGCATACATTTCAATACTGAGATAGATGCATAAAGAGTCGAGAGGCTCTGCCTTTAATGTTTGCTTTCTAGTAAAACCATGACATCACTAATTGTTTATTGCTATATTTTTGTTAATTTAAAAGCAAAAAATATGAGGAAAGTACTTTTACCTTGTCAATATATAGGCGAAACTTTTATAAAGAATAGTTTTTTTTCATTTAGGTCTTCGTTTTTCGTCAAATGAGAGGTATATTTCTAAAAGAAGATTTTTTATACAAATTTGTAGACGGTTGAAACAGAGATATTGACGTTTAAATTTTTTTTCGACCATAAGGGCTAATGTAAATGATTTTTTTTAAATAATTATAAAAAAATACTTCCTACAAAGACCTAATTGAGCATTATAACAAAAAATAGGCATTTTTAACCAAATTAGATGTAATTTCACTAAATTAGATGTAATAATTTTCAACAAATTCCAAAACCTAGTGATGTTAGATTGGTAGTGGCAACAGGGCTTACACCGGCATGGAAATTTACGTTATGTAGCATAAGCTCGCGCAGTTATTCATTGATAGAACTACGTAAAATTCTTCTCTCTATCCCTTCTCTTACTTCTCACCTTTCGTCGCCTCGCCCCGTGTCTAGAAATAGAATGTATCCAGTGCGAACTATTGTTGGCACCATGAATATTATATTTTATCAATGACTGTTTATATCTCTGTTATCTCTGGTCCCATCACATACCTATAGTTTTCTACTCTATTTGTTTCTCTCGCACTTACACGATTTTCGTAAATTAGCTTTGCCTCAAGCAGTGCCCGCGGGCATGGTCAGGGCCGTTTTGAGAAGAGGTGAACTTAATTTGTTAGTGAAGTGATTTGGATTAGGATATATTATATGCGTCACTGTTTAACCTACTGCATTTTAGTCAGTATTTTTGTATATATTTTACTGTTTTTTGCTTATTTGTGCTTCTGGTTAACTGATTTTTTAATATCATCTACCTTAAGACCTTAAAATGTTTCGTACTTGGGAAAATCCAAGTCCCGATTTTTGGAGACCGTCGATGCAAAAGAAATACGATAATCTTTACAGTAAAAACTTTGACAGTGATCTGGACAGTGACTCAGACCACGAATGTTAATTTTCCAGTATTGAAGAAGCAAATGAGGCGGAAAATGAGGAAACCAAGCAGTGTTAGGGCATACATTTCTCAGTCAAAATACGAAACAAGTTTGCTTAAATGTATATCAAAATTTAATAACGGACCTTGGATTTAAAGTACTTCTTTGCAAAAAGCAGTTCTTTCAGCCGGCGTTCCATATTCAACAATGTGTAACATTGCAAGACAGGGGATTAGGGAGAGGAAAACAAGGAAAGTTGCAGGAAAACCAAAGGAACTTAGCGTACTTGCTTCAGCACAGGACGAATTACTACCACATATAATTCGAAGATCCCGAAGTACTTTGGAACCAAAATATATACCAGAATCATGGAGAAGGACCAAAGTCACCTTTATTCCAAAAATAGGGGAAAAGGATACCACACATCCTAAATCTTTCCAACCAATCAGCCTCATATCCTTCGCATTAAAAACAATTGAAAAGGCTGTTGATAGTTAAATCAGAAGCGAAATCCTGACGTAATCTAGGATGCACTGATGAACAAGGAAACGGTCGTGTGTGCCTTCTTAGACACAGAAGGAGCATTTGACAACAATCACACGAATCTGACAAAAAAGAAACTCGCATACAGAGGCATTGATAGCATCACTTCCATATGGATGGCTCAGCTACTATTTACAAGAACTGCAGAGACATAGTTAGGGCAGGACACCATTTCTATCTGCACAGCCAGAGGATGTCCACAAGGAGGAGTTTTATTCCCACTAATGTGGAGCCTAACCGTAAATGAACTTCTATGCAGATTGACTGACCTAGTTATATTTTCTATAGGCAAGTTTGGAAATATCTTGTGTGATAATAGTCTAAAGATGACTAGAATATACCAGAAGATTGTGCCAAGAGGTGGGTCGTAGTATAAACTATAACAAAACATTAGTATTCTTTTTAAAGTCTTAATACCGTCCAATTAGAAAAAAAGAATTCAAATTATCTATGTCTAACCCTGGACAACAAACTTCTCTAGAACATATATAAGAAGGAAGTAGTAGATAAGGCCACAAAAGCCCTATTGGTATAAAGAAAAATTGCGGGTAAAAGCTGGGAATGTTACCCGAACATACCGCAATGGATGTACATAACAATAGTGAGACCAGTCATCACTTATGGGGCTGTAGCCTGGGGTAACAGAACTAGTTTAGCTCAAAAGTCAAAGACTAGCCTGTATTTGCATCACTGGTGCAATGAGAACCTGTCCTACAGCCGCATTGAAAATGTAAAACCTTACCCCTCTACATTTAATGATAGAGAACGTGGCAATAAGGACCAAATATAGAATGATCAGGAACGGAGTAATCAGACAAAATATTAGTTTCAGGAACGAAGATACTTGGGATAAGCCCCAGGACGAAATGAGAAAAAAGTACAGTTTTGTGAAAACTTTAATACCACAGAAGTGGACTGCAAGAAAGAATGGAGCTAAGAATCCATCGGGCTTGCAACCGAAAGACAAGCCATTCAGTGGTAAACGGATGGTTCCAAAACCATAAAAGAAACTGGAATAGAAATTTATGGGCTCAGAAACAGGCACTCTTAAAGTTTGGGTATATATCCAAACATCTTCAAGGCGGAAATTCACGCTATTAAGAAGTGTATCCAGTTCAACATCGAAAGAAACTGTCGCAGACAAGAAATTATCATCATGTCCCATAGCCAATTAGCTATCAAAGCACTGAGCTCTTACGTAATCACCTCAAAAATAGTTTGGAGATGCCTAGAAAAACTGAATGAGCTAGACGAGGAAAATACAGTTACTCCCACTTAGGTCCCGGGACATAACGGGGTAAAGGGTAACGGGATTGCAGATAGTCTCGCAAGTAAAGAGACTTAGACAACCTTTGTGGAACGTGAGCCGTTCAGCAGCAACACAATATTAGGAGAGATTAAAAAAAAAATTGGGCAGTAGAAGAATTGATAAATGGAACAATCTCTTGGGGTTAAGACAGGCTAAGGTACTTTTGGGTGAATATGACCAGAAGCTTCTATCAGCCTGAGCAAGTGCAGTCTACGCATTGTAACAGGGATCCCTACCGGGCATTGCCGACTCAAAGGACACCTTAGTAAACTGAGAGTAATAGAAGATTATAAGTGCAAATTCTGTAAGAAGGAGGACGAAACCTTTTTTTACATTCTAACTGAATGTGTTATACTCCAAAATCCCAGGGAACTATACTTAAGAGCATACCAAATAGAAGAGGGAACGTTAAATCATACCCTTCTTTGAGAATATATGACTGGAAGAGTCGTTATAGGCATCGATACTATGTCCTCGAAATTCAAAATTAATTTTACGAGTACCTAGTTTTATTTTATTGAAATTTCTTTATTTTCTATTTGAAAGTAAATGGATGTAATTATCATGGTTTCCCCACTGCAGAGAGAATTGAAATTGTCGCACACTATTTTAGAAACAACGAGTCTGCTCGGGCAGTTACAAGAGTTTTTAATGAACGACATCCCGGTAAGAATGTAAGACATCCCTAGGTGATAAATTGAATGTCTAAATTCATGGAGACTGGAATACGTTTTTAACAGAAAATATGAAAGACAACATCCTGTTACTAACGAGGCTACACAGGTTGCACTTTTGAGACATGTAGCATTTGATCCCACTTCAAGCACGAGACAAATAGCAGCAGCTACAGGAATTCCACGTAGAAGCCTTCAGAGTTCAGAGGGTCTTGAAACAGCATAAAATCCATCCCTATAAGAGCTAAGAGCTCCCTCCCAAGAGCTCAACGAAGACGATCCAGATCGCCGTATCCAATTTTTTGAGGAGATGACTAGAAGAGTTGTGGACAATTCCCACTTTTTATATTCAACATACTTTTCTGACGAATGCACGTTCTTTCATGATGGTCACGTGAACGGACATAATCGCAGATACTGGAGTGATGCAAATCCTGCAATTATTAGAGAACAAAATACACAGAATCCTCAAAAATTGAATGTATGGGCTGGGGTTTTTGGAAATATTGTTGGTCCGTTTTTCCTCTCATAATTTGATGGGTGAATCATATCTTAATTTGCTTGAAGACAATATCTACCCTCACATTGTGGAAATAATAGGAAACGATGATCATATCCCAAGGAATGATTTTTTTTAACAGGATGGCGCTCTACAACACTATACAGCTTCTGTGCGTGACTTTTTAAATCAATATTGTTCCGCACATTGGATTGGTAGAAGAGGTTCTATAAAATGGCCCCCACGATCGCCAGATCTAACACCGTTGGATTTCTTCTTATGGGATTATTTAAAAGGTGTTATTTACAAAACGCAACCAAACTCTTTAGATCTTCGTCACCAGATAACTGTGGCATGTCGTGAAATATCTCCTGCAATGCTATAAAATGTTCGGAACAGTGTAGAACAAACGTTTTATTACTGTTTGGAAGTAAATGGATCGCAATTCGAACACTTACTTGAATTAAAACTTTTCTGGCAACTTTTTTTTTAATTTCTTTCACCCACAATTCCAGCTGGTTTTTGGCATTAATTTTAATATTTAACACAAAAATGTTAGCATGTCTGTAAAGAGAATCGAAATACCTTTCAAATGATGAGCCACTCGATCCCCCATGCCATTAAAGATTCTCGAAAGGGTTGCCACTCCTTTTAGGGGGATGATCGTATAACCATGAGTTAACGATCAAAAGTTGTCCCCTTCGATAACAAAATCAACGTGTCTCAGGGTTTGTCGTAAAAACTTCCCCCGTCAATAATATTTGAGCTGGACTGTTTCTAATGCGCCACCCCGTATATACGATCACCTTTAGATATCCTTGTTTTACCTGGTAACCTAATGAAGGATTAACCTCACTGGCAATATCGGTTGTACAGCAATATAATATTTATTTATATTACATTGTCATATACTTTTTTACTTGTCATGATATTAATCCTTTTATTTAATTATATATGCATTATACAGTTATTAAAATCATTTTTATTTAAATATTTATTGATGGGGTTTACAAATCAAAACTTGAGACCCCACACTGTCTTATGCAGGGTATTTATTAAACATACGGCAAAAATTCAAGGTAAATAAGCAATATGATAATAAAAACTCACTCGAGGAAAAAATTAAAATCAAAGAATTACAAAGGCTTTTTCCCGATTTTGAAATCACAAAAACACAGAAGGCTAACAACTCTAGTTCGTCAAGCTTCAACAGTCGTATAAGGAAGTTTAATCGGAATATGTATTTAAAAAGTAACTGGATTTGTGGATGTGATCGAAAAAATGCATTTTTTGTTTTGCGTATGTTTTGCTAGGGATAATCAAAATTTGGGCGAGGCGCCCAAAAGTGTTTGGCCTCCGACGTAATATACTAGCCTGGCACCACCCGTGTAGTAAGGCACAAGCCGCCTCTGGTAAGAAGGCCACTAGCTCCACTCATGCTGTTAAAGTAAGTAAATACCTGGGGTTATAATGATAGGATAATAAGTAGCCAAAACATAGATTCTACACTTATATCCTGCTATCTCTTAAGCTGTAAGAGCGGTATATTAAAAAAATAATACTCGTATATATTAATAATCAATTTTAACTTAAAAGTGGGAACTGGAGAAAAATAAGACAAATACTCACAATTCGTAAATTGGCATCCAATTTCCAATTAGGACTCTCGGAATTTATGGCACCCATGTCGTATTCATAATTCGAAAATCCTTTTTCATTTGCTGCGATATTAGAAACCAAAAATGTGTAATAATGGTTTAATCCTAAATAATCTTGAGTTCCTTTTATAAAAGCGATTTCTTCTTGAGTGAAAGTTGGTAGTCGAGATTTTGTTAAATTCTGTGATTTGCTTCGTTCTGAGATTCTATCCTTTACTATCTTTGGCCAATCGCCAATAAAAATGGGATGTAGGTACAGACCACACTGAAATAAGCAAATTAATTAATTGGTTAGATATAAGACATATAAACGAAAGCCTGGGTTATATCGTTGGTATATTATATTTCAACTATCATGGATCAATCTATTATACTCCTTTGATCTACCAAGTTTTGAAAATGATCCTACAACTATATTTATGATTTATAAAAGTTTTAGCAACATTAACCTATCAAAATTATTTTTTAACTTTCCAGGGAGATTACGAAAAATTCTGCAGAGCCACTCATATAAATATGATTTATTAAAAAGTCTGTTTCAATATTAAGATAAAATTTCTTCTTATTGTGCTGCATCCCCAAAAATCTTTTTAGTATCTAATTAGCCCGGAAAAGTTCTAGTAAAAAAAACTAATATATACAGTTATATCGTTATTATTCCAACCTATATTGTACTATATAATAATGTACTATATTTTATATTATATAACATGTCATAACGAATTTCAAATTAAACGATGCCACTGTGTTCTAATAAGCGGAGTTTGTCACTTGGGAAAAATTGGTAAATTAATTTTAATCTCGGAAAGCTTAGAAGGGAATCCAACCTAAATATTAAAGCGACAACTTCAAAACAAGATGATGATAATAACTAGGCTCGCTGTTCGCATAAAATTTACATTTTACATACTTTTGACGACTAGAAGCAGCATACTTATATTATTATGTTATATTTAAGGATTTTTTTACATTCCTTCGTTGGCCAATTATTTTAATTGAATGTGATATAAAATTTTAACAGTTATGTATTATTTAATTTTAATTTATGTGCGTTTATTTACTTACCCTGGTTAGAATAATTATTAGTTTACTGAATAAATATTTGAACAATGTGCTCTTAATATAAGGTTGATTCAATTATTTCAATTTTCGCTATTTCAATGATTATTTATTATTTCCAGACAGGCTCGTGAGGTAGTGCCACTGTACTATGGCACTACCTTATATTTGATGCCAAAATATATTTTTTATTTTTAAAACGTCTTATCATATTTTTATTTTATTTCATGCATTTCTTTATACTCAAAAATTATTTGAAATGTGGCAACCTCGCGCTGAACCGGAGCAAATGCTTCAATTTGATATCACACGATGGCATCAAAAAAATTCTAACTTCCAATTGAAATCCTTCCTCCCCCCCCCCCAACTGATTTCCAAGACAAAGTATTTACATTTCTGTTTAACGCCTAATTTGGTCCACTGTTTGTTTATGTCAAATAGTCTCTAAGTAAAATGATTGTGATAGACGCATAGACAAAGAGACACCTAGGTATAGTAGGAGCAAGAGATCTAGTGTGACTTTTAAGCTAGCTGGCAAGATACAAAAAAAACTGAGGACAGTGATACATTAAATATAGTAGAGGAGCATACAAGAGAATGAGTATACTTATTTTATTTTTACTTGCCTCAATACAAGTATTAAAAATTAAAAATTTAAAAAAACCGACTTCAAAAACGTGCAGATGCCATCACCACATCTTAAACAAATTGATATGGGACCACCCCAGAGGTACCCCCTTACTAACAAAAAAAGAATCATATAAATCGGACAAGGTGGTAAAGCATTATCGCTAAACATACATAAAAAATGAAGAGTTTGAGGATTTTCTCATGGACTCAATTATTATATTTTGACCAAATTTATATGAGACCACCCCTGAAGTACCCCCCTTCTAACAAAAAAAGAATCATTGAAATCGGACATCGCGTTAAAGCATTATCGCGAAACATACATAAAAAATGAAGAGTTTGAGGATTTTCTCATGGACCCAATTATTAGATTTTGACCAAATCTATATGGGACCACCCCTGAAGTACCCCCTTCTAACAAAAAAAGAATCATTGAAATCAGCCATCGCGTTAAAGCATTATCGCGAAACATACAGAAAAAATGAAGAGTTTGAGGATTTTCTCATGGACCCAATTATTAGATTTTGACCAAATCTATATGGGACCACCCCTGAAGTACCCCCCTTCTAACAAAAAAAGAATCATTGAAATCGGACATCGCGTTAAAGCATTATCGCGAAACATACATAAAAAATGAAGAGTTTGAGGATTTTCTCATGGACCCAATTACTAGATTTTGACTAAATTTATATGGGACCACCCCTAAAGTACCCCCTTTCTAACAAAAAAAGAATCATTAAAATCGGACACCGTGTTAAAGAATAATCGCTGAACATACATAAAAAAAAAAAAATATCGCGACGAATTGATAACCTCCTCCTTTTTTGAAGTCGGTTAAAAAGGAAAGCATTTTAATTTAGATTTTCAAGTTTTCGGGTCCCTAGATTACGAAAAACATGTTTTCCCCATTCCGTCGGTCTGTCTGCCGTCCGCCATCTCTTGTCTGCGGTCTGTTGGCGCGATAGGTCAGAAACAGCTTAAGAGAAAAACTTCAAATTTTGTATGCAGGTAAGGCTTCCTCTTAGCTCAAAACCGGTTAAACTTCATGTCAGATATATACAGGGTGAGCAATAAAAAAACATTTATTATTAAAAGTCACCAGAATTCGACTTACTGATAAAATTATTATCTGATTAAAGATAACAGATCATGAATTACTTTTTAAAACACATGTCCACAACGGCTTCAATTTTTTGCTACAGGGAGTTGAAAATTTGTTTTTAACTAGATATTTTTTAATATCTCTAAAAATAGTTTAGATATAATTTTCAGTTTTGGCATGTGTTAATGAGATATAAATTTTATTTGGAAAATTTATTTTATTGCTCTACCAGTGGCGTCTCTGCAAACATGTCATCTGATATTTTCTACAAAAAAAAGTAGTATGCCACTGACATTTTTCCATGTTGATATTTTTACTCATTTGACTGGTCAATTATACATCCATACGGCATCTTGAATTTTTCTCACCAACCGCTCTGTTCTAGATTAAAATAATTGAAATTAATCGCCAATACTGCAAAATGAAGAAATTTTAATTTAATTGATGAACAATAAGATAAACGCCATTAAAGTATGTGGTTTTATATCCTATTAAAAGTACAAAAATAAGATGTAAATCTCAATAAAGTATGTCCATGGTATTCAGCAATTCTATCTATGGCGTATACTTTTTTAAATTGTTCCGTCCGTAAAATTTTAAGTTCTTATAGCTGTCTTTAAAATACAAATCATTGTCCATTAGAGAATTTTGTATGTCATTGTTAATGTACTCTTAAACAATCTGCGTCTTGACTTACTCGTCGGCAGTTAAACGATTCTCAATGCAGTACAGGTGGCTGGAAATACAACCTGCAGGAGCGGACTAGGTTTGTGAATAAACTTTTATAAAATTAACTTAGTTCGTTGTAGATTCTTTTTTTTTTATTTTTAAAATGTGAGATAAAAAGGAGGTGGTAAAAAAACGTGCAACTAAGCACACCCGAAGCTAGTCAAATTTTCTTGTATTTACGCCTTATGTTTGGAATTATCTTAAGTGTTACACGTATCTAAATATTACGCTGAATATTATAAATGTAAACAAGATGTTGATGTTGCTTGAACAGCATTTTCTCGAGTTGTTTGAATTCTCTTATTGGGTGATATGAATAAAAATCTGATGTGTCCAACACATGACTTTCCTATCTAGTTATTACAGGCTTTTTCTGGTTATTTTGTACAACTTATGTTTCAACACCTCTGTAAATGTTTAGAAGATAAACTAAATATATACATTTTCCACATACTTCTAACTCGAAACATTTTTATACAGGGTAGCTGTTAAAGATGGAACCAAACCTATAGTGCTTAAAGGGTTCAACATACAAAACCCAAAATTTCAGAATTTCAACTAAATATATTTGCGCATATTTTAGCACAAAAATTATTTTTTTTATAATTCGCGTTGAAGGATAAAGTTGTTGAGATTTTAAAATTTGCCACACAATTGTATGCGTAATATTCAATTCATGAGCAATTTTCCTTGTACTAGTTTGCGGGTCTTCTTCAATTCTATTTAACACAGCTTCTTCAATTTCAACTGTTCGAACTGTCGCAGGCCTTTCTGGGATATCAATTGTTCTTTTAAAGCTGCCAGTTTCACAAAGTCTTGCGTGAATATTAATGAAAGTTTGGACATGTGGAACCACCCGTTGATGAAATCGGGCTTGATACATTCTTTTTGCAGCTTGTGCATTACCGTGAGACCGTGAGACGAAATGAATGTCTGCCATTTCTGCATTGGTATATTCGTACATTTTGAACACAATAATAGACAATAAATTATTACATACATACATACATACATACATACATACATACATACATTTTTAAATGACAAAAACCATGATCTTTTTTTTAAATAAACTGTCGTGACTGATTCCGCTACCATGAAAACCTCTCGGTTGTTTGCAAGGCTTGCTATGCATGTATGTACAATTGTACATTTTAGCAATTTGACTCTGAAATAAAACGGATTTTATTTTTTAAAGCGTAAACTATACATCGAACAAAAAACTCTGAAGTTTAAATTTGTTTAAAAATAAATCAGGATTTCAAAAATAATTTTTGTTTTAAGATGAAGCAGTGGCATACTATTTTTTTCTGCAAAAATATTCAATACAAACCCCGTAGGTATGGACGCCACTGGTAGAAAACATAATGCATAGTATACGTGTACCAAATTTCGTAAAGATATCTACAATAGTCTCACAGTTATTGGAAAAAATAGATTTTTTTTTGAAAACTTTACCACCCTGTAGCACAAAAGTTAAGAGGTTTAGGACACGTGTTCATATGAACTTTTTTCCTTAAAATTAGTCAAAGATTCACTATTTAAAGTTTGTACAAGTACTTAATAAACACCCTGTATAAAACCACATACTTTAGTGTTGTTTACCTTATCGTTCATCAATTAAATTAAAATTTCTTCATTTTGCAGTATTGACGATTAATTTCTATTATTTTAATCTAGAACCGAGCGGCTGACGATAAAAATACAAGATGCCATAGTGATGTAGAATTGACCAGTCAAATGAGTAAAAATATCAAAATGGAAAAATGTCAGTGGCGTACTACTTTTTTTTGTAGAAAATATCAGATGATATGTTTGCAGAGACGCCACTGGTAAAGCAATAAAATAAATTTTCTAACTAAAATGCCAAAATTAAAAATTATATCTAAACTATTTTCAGAGATATTAAAAATATCTCTTTAAAAAACAAATTTTTGTAGCAAAAAAATTGAAATCGTTGCGGACATGTTCATATGAGTTTTTCTTTATAAAATGATCTGAGGAATCACACCCTACAACATTAGCATACCTATAAAAAACACCCTGTATAAATTGTAAAAACAGGGAAGCAATTTTGAATTTTTAAAAAGTAATTCATGATCTTTGATCAGATAAAATTTTTATCAGAAACCAATTTTAGTCGAAATCTGCTGACTTCTAAAAATAAATGTTTTTGCTCACCCTGTATATATCTGATCGGAAGTATAACCGGTTTTGAGCCAAGAGGAAGCCTTACCTGCATAGAAAGTTGAAGTTTTTCCCTTAAGCAGTTTTTGAGCTATTGCGCCAACAGACAGACGGCAGACAACAGACGGCGGACAGACAGACGGAATGGGAAAAACATGTTTTTCGTAATCTAGGGTCCCGAAAACGTGAAAATCTAAATGTTTACGATTACAATACTTCCCTTTTATCGAGGGAAGTAAAAATAAAATAAGTATACTCAATCTCTTAAATGCTCCGCTACTAATTTAAAGGTGATGTCTCCTTAGTTTTTTTTGTATGTTGCCAGCTAGCTTTAAAGCTTTAAAGTCACACTATATCTCTTGCTTGTACTATAATTCCCTAAGTGTTTCTTATTGCCAATTTGGGTACTGAAAAATTATTTGTTGTCTTTATAATTTTATAGTTTTTTATGTTTCGTCCTATGTATATTATATCCAAATTTAAATTTGACATGTTTTTATCACGAGAGAAACGAGACGAGAGAAATTGCTCTCTCGAGCGAGAGAAGAGCCATCTCAAGACGAGAAAACAGATTTCTCACGCCCTACGAGACGAGACGAGAGAGTATCAAAACAATAATTATTAAAAAACATTTTTTTGTTACACACCTCAAATTGCCTGTAGCGTTCAGTTGCTTCTTTATCAGATTTGGTGTTCGTCAAAGGTTCAATCCACTGGCAGTCAATAACTATTGACATTTTAGCTTAAAAATAAAAAGAACAGTTTTAGAATATTAAATTTACGTTTTATAATACTTTATACAAACATTGTTAATTTGCATAAGAACAGGTTTCTACACATGGTATTAATTTAAGAAGGCGTATCCCGCAAAGTATTACAAATTTCTCCGTTTTCTTCTGAAGGGTCGCTAGTTTTATAAAAATGTATTTTTAGCACAGAAGTGTATCATATAATTACAGTTTATTATTTAAAAATCGTTCTTAAGTGAATAGGGAATACGGATAATATTATTATTATACTTAAAATGGCACAGTTTTTAATAGACTCATGTACATTTAATACTTTGCATTAATTTATACAAACACTTATCACCAAAACCCTGTACGCTACCTAGCACTCCAGAACTGGAACGAATTCGCTAGGGCCGCAGGATAAAATATTTAGTTAAAACGATTGAGTTTTTTTGTGGTCATTCCTTTCATATTAAAAAAAATTGTTTCACCCCTTTCAAGGGGTGAAACCTACCCTACTTATTATTTTTTTTTGCGATGTGATACTACTTATGACATCTTGTTTAAAAGCTCTTTTAACAAGAAAAATTTAAATTTGATAACGAATTCACAGTTTTCTTTAATAAATGTAAAGTTGATCGACCTCACTCAAAAATTAGAATTGAAACTATATAGGTTAAACGTTGCATAAGTTTTAAGATTAATTCCCTCAAAAAAAATTTTTAGACACATTTCAGGGTCTATCTATTTTTCTATTTTTTATTTTTATCAAATTAAAATGAGAAAAAATTCATAGCCAATTTTGGTTTTAAAAGAGCTTTTGAACAAGTAGCCACAAGTAGTATCATCTCATTTAAAAAAATTAAGTGGAGATAGGTTTCACCCTTTAAACGGGGTGAAAAAATGTTTTTTTTAATATGACTGGAAAACACACAAACAAAACACAATTGACCTGTTTTTGCGTTTTATCCAAATATTTTATCCTGCGTTAGAAACGAATTAGGTCCAGTTAGAGTCCCAACCGTGTATACAAAAATAAGAATTGTGGTCAAAAAATAAAAAACCGTTTCTTTTATATTTTTGCCATAAAATTGGATGGTGCAATCTGTTTTTTATGTGTTTTTTTTATGAATTATCATTAATTAAGGATTTATTCATTGTTGCCATTGTCATTTTTTGTTTTTATCCCTTTTTGAGCATGTTTTTTTAATGATGACCATAATTCTTTTTTATTTTATTAAAAACTATATGCCAAAACGAAAAAAATAAGTACCTGAAGTATTTTATACAAAAAAAAAACTAATATCTCCAAATTATTTGAATATTTAAGACACAAAAAGATTTAATTTCACCAAATTTAATTATTTTTGAAAAGTGACAAATAAGAAACAAAAATAAAAAATTCCAGGGAACTTTTGCATTTTTATCACGCCCCTTTTCAACCCCCTAAAACTTTACTTCAACCCCCCAACAGGTTGCATTTATTTTTTTTTTATTTATTATAAACCCCTCTGCCATTTACACTTATCAAACTACAAAATTATTTTTATTTATTTTTTGTTTAAGTAACTAATTGCGGGACACGTCTTCTTAACTGTATTTAAAATGTAGTAATTAAAGTAGATGAAGAGGCTATATAACATTTTTAAAAAATCCCGAATTAAGTTTATATATTGCTTGGCCTGGTCTAGCATATGTGTCTGATTAATTCATATTCCCACTTATCAACTCATAAAACAAATTTTAAAGACATATTTCACTATCAATGTTAATAAATCGAATTAAAACGATTTTTTGCCCCTTAAACGTAATCGTAATAAAAAATGTTAAAAAACGTGATGAAAATCGAGATACTTCTTACCTTTATAATGGGGAAATTCGTTTTTATACATATGATAGGTTGCGGCATGGATTTTCATTACAATATAAGCACACTGATACTCCAATAACCCGTCGCTCTTTACACCTGGTGCAAAAATACCTAAACCATATCCAAAATGACATATTTGCTTGGGCTCATTAATTGTAGTCCAAAGTCCAACTTCTGGAAATCTTTAAATTGTTTTATTACTATATTATCAAAATATACAGTTTGACAATTTAAAAATTATAATGGCCTATATCTCACAAAGGAAATATGATGTCAAAAAATGCTTAAAACCGTTTTTAGGACAGAAAGAGCAACTAAAATGACATAAAAACCCCCTAGGCCCCACCTTTCTCAACTAAAAAAGTTTAAATAGCAAACCCCTACTTGTTGAAAAGCCTATAAAAAATGCTATCCAACAGTATAAATATAATTTTATAGGGTTAATCAATAATTGTGAAACCTTGCCTTAAAAGGAAACATTTAATGAAGTTTTTGTTGAACTACAAGTTTGTTAAAAATGTCAATGAAGTAAATGTTCAAAGCGGGTTCCATTTTTTTTGTAAATAATAATACAGCCTATTTTGAAATTCTGCACGAACTTTGACAAATTTTGTTCCAGTAATAGCAATTCCCCAAGTGGCACAGGTTGAGTTTTATAAACAACTGACTTGAGGAGGAGATGCTCTATCTTGCTGGAAGTGCAGCAAATCTTCGTCTATACCTAGATTGCCTTGGTCGTCCTTTTGTTTCTCTAATTCATGCACAACTAAAGGTTCGATGGTGTTTTCCAGCATATCCAGATTATTGCCGTCACTTAAATTGCCTAGTATAAACAAGGGGCCCAATTAAAGCGTCGCCTAATATCCCTGTCAGAACATTCAGTTTTCAGGATATTGAGTGTGATCTTCTCTAAATCGATGCGGGTTCGCATCACTCTAGTACCGACAGTTTTGTTTATTTTCATTACCATTCAGCATAAAAGTACATTCATCACTGAAACAAATATTTTTGAATAGTCTAGGTTTAACGCGAATTCTTTCAATCATGAGTTCACAAAACTCAATTCGTCGGTCTGGATCATCATCGCCTAGTTCTTGAAGAATTTTTGTTTTGTACGGGTAAAACTTATGTAATTCCAACACCTTTCTAATCGACTCACATGATATTCCTGTCATTGCAGATACTTAACGTATGGATGCAGTAGGCTCTATTGTAAATAGTCTAAGGACCTCAATTTGGCTTGCTCCATTCAGTAATCTTGTGGAATCCCTTTTTTATTTTGCACTGATCCCGTTTCTCTAAACTTTTCAACTAAATCGCTGATGTACACGTGACTTATTAAATTATAGAGCTGTTCGTAAATAACACTGGTTCTGGGAGCCAAATATAATAATTATGTCCACACGTTCAGGTAAACCGTAAACCAGGCCTGCATAACATAGAGCTTCATGCGGCCCGCCATTGTCGTTTTCTTGGCCCTTTGCCCGTTGACCAGTTTGGCCCGTCTACGTCAAACTATACATTTTTAAGCAACAAAATTGCATTTTGATAAAAATTGCCTTTTTTAGGGGCTCGATAAAAGGCCCTGGTTCATTATAAGCCGAATGACAGTACCGATCGTACAAATGTTTCAAATGAACAAAAAAATTATTGACTGCTACAGAACCCAACTTTTACAACTTCTTTTGCAAAAACGGCAAATTCAAGTTTTTATTTAACAAAAAAAAATATCTACTGACACTTATTATTAAAAATAAGGTTTTATTGGCCTTAAGAGCTTATTAACATTGTATCACAAGTAGAGTATGTTTGTTTTAAACATTTTTAGATATTTATTTGGTAATTAGTAATTGATATCCCCTGTACAATTATTATAATTTATACCATCACATGTAGGAGTTTGCTATTTAAACTTTTTTAGTTGGGTTAGGTTGGGCCTAAAGGATTAATCGGGGTGAGTTCTCTTTTATGTCATTTTAGTTCCCCCTTCCTATCCTACAAATAGTTTTAAACATTTTTTGATACCATCTGTTATTTGTGAGATATAGCCCATTGTAAGTTTTTAAATTTTCACACTGTATTGGATGAAAATAATTCAAAATAAATGAACTAATTATTCATTCGTTCAATCAAAATTAAATAAAGATAAAGATGAGTTGATTTTCTATTTTACTAGATGATTTAAGAACTACTAAACACCTCGAGATTACAATTCTTGCATAATTTACAAAAATATCCACGAGTTTCGGATTGGTCCAATCAATTCCATCCTCGTAAAGCCGCTGTGGAAGATCCCAATGATAAATAGTCACTACAGGAGTCATATTGTATCGTAAAATTTCTTTTATAACTTTTTTGTAAAAAGTTACACCTTTCTCATTAATAGGTTTGCTGTAACCAGTTGGCAAAACTCTGTAAAAAAACATGACATCATCACAAAATATAATTTTTGTAATTTAAAAATGTATTAGAAATGGAACCACAAGACAAAATGTTGTAAACATTGGCCATATTGTTCACTTACCTGGACCAAGAAATCGAAAATCTGTAAAATTGTAAACCTATATTATACATATTTCGAATATCCTCTTTGTATCTGTGATAAAAGTCGCAAGCGATGTCCCCAGTGTCATTATGCAATATTGGAGAAGGTAGTTTGTGAGTAAAATGATCCCAGATGCTTGGTCCTCTTCCGTCTATGTTCCATGCCCCCTCGATTTGGTATGCTGATGTGGCGACTCCAAATAAAAATTCTTTAGGAAATTTGTTGTAATGTATTTCACAGCCTATTCTGAAATAAAATAATTAAATAAACGCAATTTTAAAATATACAGAAATCTTTGAAAAGGTCTTATCGCATCTCAAAAGTAATTTAATTATGGACCAGGAGATGATAACAAATAGAACTTGACGATTTTCTCGTTCATGCCTCTAGAGGTAGTTAAAAGACCTTAGATTAAAGAGAACAAACATGTTACACGGTGTTTAACCTGTGCGAGAATGAATTACAGAGTGGGGGAACTGGGAGGAGACCCGAACTCTGTATCAGGCACTGCCTTTATTACCATCATAATGAACTATTAAATTTACTAAAAAGGTGTTTAATGGAATATTGTATTATTATGACGTAAAATTAAAGGGATTTTTTAATATTAAACAGACATTTTATGTAAAGAGAAGACAAATGGCCTTTTGTAGAAAATTTCATATGGGTTTATTTACTACGGACTACAATAAAATGTTAAACTAAAATATTGTCAATCGAGCAAGGAATGGTACTAATTGTCTACAAGTATTAAAATAGCAGCATGTGCGCAGGCGAATACTGCAAATCAAACGTTGGGAGTTGAACATTATATTTTTTCTAAGGCTTAATACATAATATTAAAAATTAGTCAAAATAAGAAGATGCTGTTTTGTATATATAAAAAGTTATATTAAAGCTTTTCTTTAGAAATATTATTTAATATAGAGAACGTGTAACATAAATCTCTAGAAAAGCATATTTATGAAACCAGATAACATTTTACAATTTAAACCTAACAAAAGTCATTCGGTCGCTAAAGGCGGGCGATTATTGAAATAAATTATCAATCAACGAAAATAATCGTTTATTTTCAAACTATTTTTTTTTAATATTCCCTTTAAAATCGATTATTCGGTGTTTCCAAAAAATAATAAACGGATTATCGAATATTTTAAATAATCAAGCAAGTTGTTCCCCCTCGAATCAAAAATCAACGGGTCCGAACTTTTTTCCCTATTTTCATTTTAAATCCGGTAAATTGGGGTGTAAAGTTTTCGTTGGCCCACCCTGTATATTGTGACTATGGCTTTGATGAGAATTGTTTAATGTGTATTACATCTCGGTGTCACATTTGAGTTTGGAATTATTTCCTCTTTTATTTTATTTAAGTTTAAGCACAACTAATTATCATATAAATTCTCCTACAGTTAGTAAATCATATAACACATTATAAAACCTTTTAAATCTCGATATTTTTCTTGTTCCTTGTCATCGTTTACTAATACTTTAAACAAATTATTTTTAGGCCATACAATTTAAATACGGTTGTTCTATTATTATTGATTTTTAAATTGATTAATCGAAATTTTTGTATCTATTGTTAATAGTGAATACTGACCTAGGCTTCGTCCCGTTTTGCATTCTTTATTAAAATAAATAAATTCCTTTTTAACAAGTTATTTGTCACGTTTATTTTTTTTGCCTGAATATTATAATATTCTAACGTTTAAATTCTTTTGTAACACGTTCACTATACAGTAATAAAGTACTAAATTACGTTAAAAATATTAACGTGCAGTTTTATTTATTTCTATGACTATAACATAAAATTTGGTAATAATATTAATTATAAACTCAATTTTCTCAGTAAGTCAGTTTTGTAATTACATCTGTTTTTCCCTTTACCCTTCAAATACAATAATATTAACCTGAAGTTTTTGGCAAAAATCATGCTCTATAATGAAATAAAGCTTATTGATTAAAAAACTCCCAATAAAATGGGGGCCAACATGAAATGTTTAGTAAAAATCACGATCTATGAGGGAATGAATAAATAAATAAAATGAGGAGAAAAGTGGGGATTATATATTGAAAAAAATCCTAACTCAGAAAAAACAAAATACGATATCAAATTGCAATCTTCAGGAAGAATTAAGTTTTATAAGAGGATCAACAAGCCTATTTGATTCTGAAAAAGTCTGATAGAAAAGGGTGGTTAAAGAAGTCTGTTAAACTGTGAAGAGTATAATATAGAATGCCAACTATTATATATCTTCATTATAGATTTTACATCGGTATTGTAATGACTACCTTCATTTATGAAATACAAAACTTATTAAAAATATTAAAATAACTTTATTTTAGACATAGATATAAAAAATCATGATTCCTATACTTTCCTTATCTGTATACAGATAGGAAAGTAAAAAATCGATCTTATGAAAACAAACGCTTTGTATTACACGTCATATCTACTTTTAGAGTTGTCTGCATAACGAAATGACAACTCTTTTATGACAGGTATCAACGATAATTTTATAATACATGCCTTTACAATGTCAAATAAATCAAGCCTTATTCCCTTAATATCCCTCCGTCTATGCTATGTAACGGTTGGAACCGTTATTTCGTTATTTAGGCACAATCTTCTCTTACTCAAATGTAATTTGTCGTTTATGCCTTGTGTCAAAAGTTTTCATTTTCATTTGAATAGATCAAATAGATCACATATATTTTAATTTATCTTGGTCATCTGAAGTATTAAATAAATTTTATTTTTCTTAAAATCCGTCTGATTTTATAAGGTAAGTTTTAATATTATTATGTTATTAAATATATATATTTTGTGTAAGGATTTCTTGAACAATTTGTCAAAGTTTAAACTTAACCTCAATGTCAACAATAAATGACACATGTTAGTTTTATACAGTGTGGAAACCACTTATGGAATAAAATTCTTTATGTCATTATTTTAGAAAATTATAAAAAATGCCGAAACATGTCAACTTTTGAATTGAGTTGTGCGTTATGTAAACATAAATTTAAATGTACAGGGTGATTCACGCAAGTATGCCATAGTCGGTGTTGTTTTTTTTAATGAAACACCCTGTATATTTGCATACATACATTATTCAGTTTGTTGGAATCGGTTCATTAAGAGGATTTCAAAAATATGCAAATATACAGGGTGTTTCATTAAAAAAAAAACAACACCGACTATGGCATACTTGCGTGAATCACCCTGTACATTTAAATTTATGTTTACATAACGCAAAACTCAATTCAAAAGTTGACGTGTCTCGGCATTTTTTACAATTTTCTAAAATAATGACATAAAGAATTTTATTCCATAAGTGGTTTCCACACTGTATAAATAAAACTATATATTATTTTTTTGGAACAAGATATTATGCTTTACTATATTTAAATATATTAAATAAGATTTTTTCCTTTTCATATTAATTTTAGTCTGTGAAATTATTCAGTTAATAGTTTGAAATTATTCTTTAATAATTAAAGCATTTTCAAACCTTTTTTGGTTTTTTTTTTAAAGCATTTTATCTAAATCCTTTTCAAATTTCCTCTCTCCTATGATAACATGTTAACCCTTTTTAGCTCATGGCTATATCTAGACGGTTTTGGATTTATCTCTAGACGTTTCTGGATTCATCTCTAGACGGTTTTGGTTCAATATCTAGACGGTTTTGATCTCATCTCTAGACAGTTTGAGTTCTAGTTCGAATACTGAAGATCATTCACACGTTTCATCACTAGACGTTTCACCCCAAGTCAGTTGAGTTTAAATACCATATATCTTGAAGATCACGGTGCAGAATTATGCAGAATTACGAATAAGGATCCCGAATTCCGTGGTGAAAGTTGCCTGATGAAATACCATGATATAACCTAGATTTACATTCCGTATATTACCTAACTTACCAACAGATAAGTACATACTCAATAAATCGTTTTAAATTTGAATTTAGTACAACTTATGTGAATTAGAATATGATAACTACCTTGTCTAAAGCATGGTTTAACTACCTTATCTAAAGCATGGTTTACGTATTATTTGTTAGTGGTTAGTAATTTTCTATATTTTTATCACTAATCTAGAGTCAAGTGTATTAAGCTTTAAATATAGTGGTGCCCAACTTCTTTTTCAAAGTTATTTGAGTTATTTAAAAACCTAACCCACGCCCTATAAATTAAGCTCAAACACTTATAACAAGTAGATAGAATAACTAAATAGCTCGTTACAGCTAACAAAACATTATCTATGTAATGACGGCATATCATTCTTATTACAAATAGTTTGACACATTACACATTTCCTTACCATCCTCTAAATGTCCTTAATAAACAGTTCAATGTTCAAATTATTCTCGAAAATCTCAAAAACCAAAAAAGCACAATAAAAATTAAGCTGTCAGCTAACGCCGTCAACAAAATGTCTTGTGTTGCAAAACTTAAAGGTTATAAATCAGAATGTTCAATACCCACATACGATACACGTGTCAAAGACTATAAATAAAAATCTTAAGTGATTCTAATGAATAAAAAGCTCATATTAATGCTTTCGATTCTTTATTTTTATTTTTAAATAGATTATATCAAAGGTAATAGTAAATTACTGAGGCCCTTTCTATGGTGCCTCAGTATTGCATTCGTGCAGACTAAAAAATTTTCTTACCCCCATTTTTTAAAACTTTTTTTCATGTTTACCGAGTCCGAAAATGCAAAAAAAAAAAATTCGTCTGGTCGTCTGTATGTATGTATGCCGGCACGACTTGCGGTTTTGATTTTCTTGAATAATTACTTCTAACTTAGAACCCTATTGATTTTCAGAATTTTCGGTTCATCCTAACTACTTTATAATCAATTTTCTTAAAATCCGCATATGCATTTCTTACGTTACAATTTTAGGAATTTCAATTATTTCTAAGTCAACATTCCTAACATTCTTAAAATTTCATAAATTACAAACATTCTCTAACGACCTGTCAAACAACAGCTGTTGATAGTAAAGGTGAAATTTCTAAGGCGGGTTGCGACCTTCATACTTGCAATCATAGCCATTTTGGAGTCTATTTTTATTCGAAATTAGTAGCCAAGCCTGCCAATTTATGAAAAATATGTAAGCAATTTCTTAAAAATGACTTTTTTATGGTGGTGCTAACTTAAGCGTACTACTATTTCGCCCCTAGCCACAAAAACACCTTCATCAAATTTATTGACTCTCTGTCGCAATCCCATAGAATAATTAACCGGTCATTTTATTTGGCAAAAATCAGAATAATGCTTGGCTGTGCCTGTCAAGTATCAAGATGTCAACTGTGATGTGTGAATGGCTCTTAAATGTAAAATTATTTAAAAATGTATACTTCTTTTGATATTTATTGCAAATAATTTGTAGTATATCTCAATTTAGGCTTTCCATAAAGGTACAACAAGATAGATAATATAATGTTCTTATACAAAGGTAGGATATAATGCTGTTTTTTTGTAAAAAAAATTTATTATACGATTTTGGATTACATATTCAACCAGCGAATTGTAAATAATAAATAGTAAACTTCTAGTCATAAATTTTCTCAATAAATAAAATTTACCGAGGTATTTTGTTGTGTTTTTTATTTTAATTATAAAGTTGTCATTTATTTGTATGTTGAAAGAAGGCATTTGTAAATTACATTCCTCTCTACGGATCCACTTTAACACAAAAATAGTTTTGTGGCTATAAGTTGCTATAACCTATCGTCACAAAACTATTAATAATTTAAAGATAGTAAGTAGGTAGTAATATTATAACATCAAATAATTTTTTAAAATAAAGTACATGATCTCAAAATAGAAATAATTTATAATAAATGCGGGTAAAACGAGGGGTAAAATAACAATAAATTAAGAGAAATACTTAAAAATAGCAGGTTTAAAGAGTATTATCACAAAAAAGTATATCCGTTCTGTTTATTTATTAAGTATTGTTTGAGGTTACTTTTGAATACATTTATTGTTTTTTTTTTAATTTCTGTAGGCAGTCTATTAAATTTTTTAAACCTTTAATAAAAATTGTATTTTGGGAACTTTTAGTGATGGCTTGCCATACATGAAAGTCAGATTGGCTTCTTGTAATTTAGTTGTGATATTTCGAATTATAGTGAATTTTTTCTAATAGATCTGATGCGATGGTACTATGTCATTTTTATTTTATAAATAAATATCAGTCATGTACTGAACATAATTCTGAACTGAAAGCCAATTTTTTTTTAACATAGTTGCAATACTCATCCTTCTGTCCTTTAATAATAATGGGGCCAACTATTATTGGATAAATTGCTTAAACAAGTTTGTAAACCCTAATCAAAAGGCTATATAGAATGGTTTTAAAAATCAAGGCTTATGAAAATCATCACATGGTTTAACCTAATTAATGCCAATGATGCTTCACAAATCAAAAAATTCAACGTCCTAATACTACTATCGGCTTTTGGTCTTTCGTTCCAAGTTAAATAATTTCTCGTTTTTGTTACGCTACGAGTTTAGCCTTGTGGGTCTCAGTCTCGATAAGGTGGGAACCACCATTTTAGCGTCTCTCGAATTTTTTAATAAAAATGTACTTAATGCAGGATATTTGATGGAAGAAACATAGGAAGAGCGTATTGTTAGAAAGATGTACATATAAAATCCTATAACGAACCATGCAAATTAATTATTAGCATAAAGCATAAAACAATGTAGGTAACCAGAAATTACAAATATGGCTACAGCTAAAAACCGAAAAACTGGAGACATTAAGGTTTAGAATCTTCAACGGATTATGTACAAAATGATGTGATATAAAGTAAATATAAAAAAAAGTTTACTGGTTATTCTCGTTTACAGATATTTGTCTAGCTCTGGTTTGAACATCAAAAGGTTCGGAATGTACGAATTTTTAAACTAAGAAAGCAAGAGTGAAATTAACTTACGAAAAGATACAACTAATGAAGAACCAAATCGATAAGGACATTATTGTGAATGTACCACATTACAAGTAACCATTAGTACATAATTTTTCTGTCTTTTTATAGGATTTTATTAATTTTAATAGGAATTTCGCAAATGCTTGTTTTTCATAACAATTACAAATTAGTTTATTTACATGCACTTTGTTTGTTTTGCTATTATTTAAATGATTTTCATAGAATGTATATTTATGATAATTTTGGAAACGTATGTATTTTAACCTTTACGATGTATGTTGTAATTTTTTAAATTTATATATACTTAGAAAAATGTAGTGGCATATATTAACTTTAAATGAGTTTAATCAGTGAGTAAAAATATGAACGGGCCATGGTATAGCGCAGAGTTAGAGAGTTGAAGTGTTTTTAATACGTTAATGTTAACGTAGATGTAAATGCACAAAAATGACTTTTACATTGTAGTCCAAAATATGAATTGAAGTTGTTAAACTTATCGTGACATTTACAGCCGATTAATTATTGAATAGTAAACGATCAAAAACTGTATGAAAATTTTTAAAGTATTTTACCCAGAACTTCCTTCGATGAAGAATTTGTAAAAGCAGAAAACTCTTAAGCTCTTAAATTTTATTATTTTAAAATTAGAACCACCAAACCGAAAACCCTTTTTCACAGTTCTCTCTCAATCGATGTTCCTCTTGATCCCACCCTAAATATCACTTCGGGTCCGCTCGGTATTCTTCGTCACGTTTACTGTTATTGAATAATGATGATTGGCTGCACTAAAAATGGTCCAGTTACACATACTAAAAGGACGCTTTTTATTAGTTCCATTCAAGGGGACATTTTTTAATTCATTATGATTCCTTTCAATTTTGAATTTTTGAAAACTTATTTAGAATCTGTTATCCTTGACTTCTAAAATTATTTTTTTGTAAAAAACCTGCTCACCGTGTATATAATTTATCAGAAATATAACTGGTTTTGAGCCAGAAAGGAACCTTCTCTGCATAAAAAATTTAAAATTTTTCTATAAAGCAGTTTAAGAGCTATCATGCCAACAGACAGACAGACGTCAGACAGACCGACGGAATGGGGAAACATGTTTTTCGTAATCTGGGGACTGAAAATCTGAAATAACCTCGAAAGGTGACTTTTCACGTCCCTCTTATCGAATGAAGTTAAAAGGACAAAAATATAAAATAATATAACAATTGACCTACCTATATACTTTTAAAATAATTAACACGTTAACGACCGGCTCCGAATTCTAAAATTTTACTCGTGGACCAGGGTAGTTTTTTGTTAAATCTTGGCAAAAGAGAGTCTGGTAATATAATTTTTGAAGAAATAAATTACTATTAAGGAGTTTTTGATACCCTCATTCTATTGGTTTGCGCAATTCGTGGAAAACAAAAGTAAAGATAAGTTTACCAGTGGTTTCCAAATCAGGTCACAACTAAAAAAGTTAAAATTGTATTTACTTTCCAAAAATAAACCGCCATTTTTATTATAAATTAAACCTAGCATTCTAATTATCACACATTTTAATTATTTACAATTATTGTGATTTCAAAGAAACAGCATGTAATTTGAAAGAATAAACATATACACATAAATGTCACATTTTCAGAGCATGCAGACTATTTCTTTTTTGTCTTCTTCATGGTTATATTTGCAGATTTAAAGTAAAATATTTAAAAATAGTAAAAGTATACAATAGTAAAAAGTTTATTGATATAGTAAGTAATTGGCAAATAAGCAATTTTTATTAGTATTATAATCTAGAACAAAATACAAAAAATCCCAACCCAAGGCAACTTTTTGTTTTCCAGGGACCAAATCAAATACTCGATACATTTAAAAACCATGTAGCTGCGTTCCTAGCAGGCCCACATTACTTAAAACACTTAAAACACCCTGTTCTTCCAAAATCTATTCCCCACATTACAAATTTTAAAATGTCTAGGTATTATTGTACGACTTTAAAAAGGATGAAACTGAATCATGGGGGTTTTCCATCACACCTTTCCAGAATTGGTATTATTATATCACCTTTCTGTCAATGTGACAATTCTTCTTTTGCTGATATCAACCACCTACTTTTTTTTTGTAGCCACTATAATTCTCATCGTTCAGATTTTCTTAAAAAACTTTCTTCCCTAGATATCCTTTTTCCATCAAGTATTTCTATTTTATTAGGTTAATTTAATTAGAAAATATATAACTTAATTATTGAATTTTTATTTAAAGAAAATATTAAAATATAAATAATTTTTCTGTTTACAAAAGTCTGTGGCAAAAAAAATTGGGTCACACGGTCTGGGTAGAAGTTACTGGATGCACCATATTGGTGCACATGGTCGTTAACGTGTTAAGTATACTTTTTAGACCCTTATTTTTTACAAATATTTAACAAAAATTTATTGTTTAGAATAGAAGCAATTCTATGTTGAATTTTGAATTGTTGGTAGACTCAGACATTGAGGACGATGATATGGATGATGCAATTTTGTCCTTAATCATCTTTCAAAAAAATGTAAATTGAGCTTTTCGGTGACTTAGAATCTCTTTTTCTGGTCAATGCCATTTTCAATGTATTTTCCGTGAATGAGAGATCAATAATATTTTTAGGAATGACTGTGAAGACTAGAGATAACGAGGCGAATCGGCATACTTGAATTACGGTTCCAAAAATCGAACGCTAATTGAGCTTTTACAATTCACCGCAGAGGTGCTGGTGTAGCTAGTGCTGTTAAAAATGCATGCCTTATTATAAAAATAAAACTAAGCTTGTTTATTGATAAATAAAGCACAGAAAATACTGTTGCATTTATTTATAAATAAGCCTTGCATGGTTTAATTGATAAATTATTTACTTTACATAAAATGCAAATTAGGTGGGTATGACCAAATTCGAAAACGTTTGTTAAATGAAGAAATTTGATAAGTACAATTTATTTATTAAATTTTTTGAATTATAGCTAAATATAGTTTTAAGAGCAAAATAAAACACAACAGATTTTTTATTGTTATAATCCAAGCATAAAGGGTGATTTGGGAATTGTACATGTTATTGACTCATCCTTTAATTTAGGCATTCCCCTTTTTAATTTGCTAACAGTACCATCAGTAAAAACAGTCTCATTATATTTGGAAATATCTTCTGAAAAGTTAATCTCGCAAACAGCGGCCATAAGAATGATATTGCTGCCATTGTTCTAAACGTTTAGGATCCTATAATAAACATTTAATAACAAAAAGTCATTTGGTTAAAAAATTTAAATTTTGGCAAAATTAATAAGGTAATATTATATAAATATGAATGTATTTTAAAGTTTCAATTCCTTGCAGTTTCCTAAAAAAAATCAACGTGCTTTAAATTTTGAAATATAATGAAAATAAATGCCACTAATTTTGGCGAATTTTAAAAAATCATTAACAAGGCATTAAGAGCTAAAATTTAGGGATTATATTAAAAATAGTGTTATTGAGGAATGCATTTATTTCCATTATGATATTTCAAAATTAAAAGCTTTTTGATTTTAAAACTTTAAAATATATGCATATCTAGCAGAGCTGGGTAATTCCCAATTAAAAAGTAATTAATAATTACAATTGTTTTTTTCATGTTATTTGTAATTGTATTTAAGTACTTTTTCCTCAAAGTAATTTGGAATTGTAATTGCAGCAGAATCTGTGGAGGAATTGTGCTTTGTAATTATATTAATTCATTTTATTTAAATTGTCTAGATACAATTACTTGTCATATGTACAATTATTTTTTCAAATACAATTAGTTTTCCAATTACAATTTCATTTATAGGCATAATTACATTTTTAAATTACAATTACTTTTAAATGCGTGTTTATCAGATGCATGTGATATAAAAACAAGAAATTTCCTATAAGAACCGGTCACTAGAACTCGGACTCGCATCCATATCATTTGTTTGAATGCATTTGAGGAAAGCGTTGATCAACTCAAACTAATAACAGTAAGGGGTAGGTAGATGCAGATATCTTTATTTTTAAGACGTATTTTGTATTTGTATTATTGTAAACATAATTTATGTTGCATAAACATTATAAATTAAGGAAATCTAGTATAAAGTGATGCAAATAGCAGTTTTTATGGTGTAAATACTAAAAATTATGTACTTATTTACGTTGCGTAGGTATTTCTAGTTATTATTCTAATTTACTACATTGAAATGAAGGATTAACTATTTTAATAAACGTATTCTAAGTATTTGATTTTAACATAGAAAATGCAATATTTTAATTAAATTAACAGCACTTGTAACGGAATATAAATATATTTTATGTCAAGCGAAATTATTTGATGATGTAGATCTATAACCAAATTTGAGTAAACTGTGTCTCATTTTTGTTTGTACGAACGAGATACAGAACGATACATTTTAGATTATTTAATATAATTTTATTATTATGTACAGGGTGATTCATTAAGGGTGGCGACCGTATCTCAGAATATCTTGAAGTAGAACTTTTTTTGAAAGGAACGCAAAAACTGGTTGATTTTTATTTCAAGGAGGACACGTTTCTATAATATCCTTAACTGTCATATATCATTCCTCTCTTCTACGTCAATAAAACCAATACAATTTAAATAGGGAAAGTACCAAGTATGACACATCGTCGGAAAGGTAATTTTATGAAGAATTCAGCAATATGATTGTTCATTGCGTTCCTTTTAATTTTAGCGCCCTCCAGCGGGATAAAAAATTATTTCCTATGGTAAAGTGTGACACTTCATTTGAAAGCTAATTTTATTAGTACTACAAAAAAAGATATTATAAATAAAAACTATTTTGATTTCAATGAATGCGTAACACCTTCGGTTGTACCAAAAAATGGGGTACAGTTAGAAGTGTTACAATATCTCGATAATTTAAGAAAAAATATTACGATGCTAGGTAGCTACCCCTTGTGTTTTTTAAATATAATACGGCACTTTCTTCTTCTGGGCCCGTTGAGAGATTATTGTCCTTTGTCACAATTGTCAACGCTCCCAGAAGGCATGCGCTATCCGACAGAAATTTTGA